GGCCTATTTGACACTGGCCTGTTTTCATCCCTCCCCACTTTACCTTCCCAGGCAGAGTTCTCCTGATACAGCTAGTAGAGTTGGTGGGCTTGTGCTTGGACCTTCCCATCTCTGGGCTGGGATAACAGGCCACCAGCTGGGTGTAGGGGATCCAGTGGTGAGATACCCCCCTTGTGTGGTAAGTGGATAAGCACTGGGCCATCTCCCCAGCCCCTGAGTTTTGTTATTGTTTTACTTAAAAACAAGATCTTGGAGCCAGGTGTGGTGGCACAGGCCTGTAATCCCAGCACTCAGGGACACAGAGGCAGGCAGATCTCTGTGAGTTTGAGGCCAGCCTGGTCTACAGAGTCCAGGACAACCAAGGCTACACAGAGAAATCCTGTCTCAAAAAAAAAATCAAAACAAACAAACAAAACCACAAAATAAACAAACAAAAACCAAGATCTTGGGTTGGCAAAATGGCTGAGCAGGTAAAGATAGCCACTAAGCTTGACCTGAGCTTACTCCCAGGTAGAACTGACTCCATCAAGTTGTCCTCTCACATATATATCCTGTGTGTATCTATCTGTCTGTCTCTCCCTCTCTCTCTCTCTCCTCTCTCTATCTCTCTCTCAGACTAAATAAAAATTAAAAATCAAATTAAATGAGAAACATGTTTTCAGCTAGGGGTGGGGTGGCGGCGGCAGCGAACGAACACCCCTTTAATCCCAGCACTTGGGAGGCAGAGGCAAGTGGATTTAAGAGTTTGAGGCCAGCCTGGTCTACAGATCAGTTTCAGGACAGCCAGGGCTACACAGAGAAACCCTGTCTCAACAACAACAACAACAACAACAACAAAAAGGTCCAAGTAGCAAGCAAGGGAAGCCCAGTTTGATCCTCAGCCCCATAACCACCCAGGCATGGTGGCGCAGTTGCCATCCTAGTTCAGGGGAAACAGCCCAGAGGATCCCGGAGGCCTGCTAGCCAGCTCCATCTTATCAATTAGCTCCAGGTCCTAGCAGATCATATCTCAAAAAGCACTGTAGACAGTTCCCAAGGAGTCACATCTGAGGCTGAGCTCTGGCCTTCACACACATGTGTGTGCCCACACTCATGAACACACCCTAGCCAAAAGACTGGAGGGCGGTGAGTTGGGAAAGGGGCTTGCTACCAAACCTGATAGTTTTAAGTTTTATCTTTATGACCCATGTGGTGAGTGAGCCGACTCCTATAAACTGTCCTCTGACCTCTATCCACACACAGGCCATGACACACCGATGCCAACATACATACACACACACACAATAAAGAAATGTGAAAAACATACTAGGAGCCAGGCCGTGGTGGCGCACACCTTTGATCCCAGCAGTCAGGAGGCAGAGGCAGGTGGATCTCTGAGTTTGAGGTCAGCCTGGTCTACAGAGAGAGTTCCAGGGCAGCCAGGGCTACGTAAGGAAACATACCGCACACACGATCCCATAAAACGTGGGAAACTTAATTTTGTTAAAGGGAAAATGAAAGTGAAGTCAAGCAGTGGTATATACATAGACCCAGCACTCCAGGGGCAGAGGCAGGCGGACCTCTGTGAGTTCAAGGCCAGCCTGGTCTACAGAAGGAATTTAAGGATATAGCCAGAAGTACACAGAAAAACCCTGACTTGAAAGTCACTAAAACAATAAAAAAGGAAAGGAAAGGAAGAAGAAAGAGAATGTAAATGCTTAATTGATATGTAAAGTGAAGAAATTATTTTTAAAAAAAGAAAGAACATGCTTATCTTTGGGGCTGAGGGTGTAGCTCGGGGCTAGAGCACATTTTTAGTGTGCAGCAGAGCCTGGGGTCAAGCCCTAGCATGAAAAAACAAGTCAGCAGCTTAAAATTGGCCCTTGTCGCTCCAGCCGCTGCTGCAGGCAAGCTGCACAGCGGAGGTCCAAAGTCTCCACCGATAACAACCAGCAAGAGCTCCTGATCCTGAAACCCAACAGCCTCCTGAGTCAGAGACCTTGACCTGAGAGTGAGGCCTGGATCGTCCATGGTGCAGATCGCCCAACTGAACGAGAGGAACCGCACGGAGAGGTTCATCTCCTCAGCCGTGCGCTCAGTTCTGGAACCTCCACTGCTGTGCACAGGGACTTTCCTTAACTTCCCTTACCCACATGCTGAGTAGAAACAAAGACAGCACGGAGTGGCCTGCTGTGGCCTGACGACCTGAGTTTGACAGCCAGAACCCATTCGGTAGGAGGAGAGACGTTCTCTCTGGCGTCCGCCCAAGTGCCCTGTGTGCTTGCACCCCCGCCTCTCAGGCACAAGCCAGTGTAATCAGAACACTAAGAAGGAAACATCAGAAATGCTAAAAAGGCTGCCCCGGTGACATCTGTGGGGTTCCTCGTGGCTTCCCACATGGAATCTTCCCTTTCTACTTTCTTCCCGACTCTGCAAACCAAACAAACGGTGCTACCAGACATCCTGACCCTTGTACAAATCCTCCTTGCTTCCTTCTCCCTCTAAAAACTTTTTTTTTAATGTGTGTGTGTGTTCGTGCTTTTGTCATAGGTACCACGAGCATGCAGGTGCCCATCCAGGCCAGAGGGCATCAGATCCCGCAGCACTGAAGTCACAGGTAGTTGTGATGTCAGTGCATGGAGCTGCTGAACCGGGGTCTTCCGCAGGAGCAGAAGGTGCTCGTGTGTGTATTTTCCCACTTTTGAGTGTTTTTGAGAGGTGGAGACCAGAGGAGGAATGCTGGTGTTTTCTTCTAGCACCCCCTCCCCCGGCCTCTCCCTGATCCTAACATTTACCATTTCAACCAGGCTGGCTGGCATTGTCTCTGCCCCCAGTGCTGGAGTCACATGGTGCAGCTGGGACCTGGCTTTGACACGGGTGCTGGGAATTTAGACTCATGTCCTGTTGCTTTTAGAGTGAGCACTCCTAGCCAGGCCTTCACCGGAGGGTTCTAGGGCAGGGACTCACTATTGGATTTCTGTCTTTCTCTTCTTCTGTTTGTTTTGAACCAGGGCTCTCTATGAAGAACAGGCTGGCCCCAAACTCAGAGAGATCCACTGCCTCTGACTCCCAAGTGCTGGGAATGTACACTGCCACGCCTGGCTGCAAGGGCTCTATGGCGCTTCATTTCTAGCTTTATTTATTTATTTATCTATTTATTTATTTGTTTGTTTGTTTGTTTGTTTATTATGTATACAGTGTTCTGCCTACATATAACACCTGCATGCCAGAAGAGGGCACCAAACCTGATTAAAGATGGTTGTGAGCCACCATGTGGTTGCTGGAAATTGAACTCAGAACCTTTGGAAGAGCAGCCAGTGCTCTTCACCTCTGAGCCATCTCTCCAGCCCCATTTCCAGCTTTTTGAGAGACTTTTACTTACATACAGCTTTGAGTGTCTGTGCGTTTGTGTGCAGACACCTCACAGGAGGGAGCGGCATCAGAGCCTGCTCGTTATGAACCGGGCAGCACATGCTCCTCACCATTGAGCCACCTCTCCAGCCTAATGTATCACTAGTTTGCTGTTAGGCAGGGTCTCACCATGTAGCTAAGGCTGGCCTGGAACTTCTGTCGACAGGGCTGGAATTCAGAGATCTGCGTGCCCCTTCCTAGCACCAGGATTAAAGGTGTGTGCCACCACACCGAGCTCCATATATATATGAGAGAGGATCTTGCTGTGTAGCCCAGACTGGGCTTGAAGTGACAATCCTCCTGCCTCACATTCCCAGCACTGGGGATACAGGCTTGTATTATCATTCCTAGCTGTACTTTACATATGAAGACATCTAAGGACCCTGAGTTTGGTGGAAAATTACCTGGCCATTTTTCCTAAACGTAAGAAAAATTACTTTTATATTTTTAGGTTTGTATGTGTACCTCTGTGTGTGTTTGTTATGTGCATGCCACACGTGTTCAGTTGCCTTCAGAGGCCAGAAAAGGGCATGGCATCCATTGGAGATGGAGTTACAGGTGTTTGTGAGCCACCCAACATGAGTACTGGGAAACTAAAGTTGGGTTTCTGGAAAAGTGGCAAGTGCTCTTAACTGCTGAGCAATCGCCTGCTCCTGAAATGTGTTGACTTGGCCTCATGGAGCCCAGTATAGCTTCCAACAGCATACTTAGCTGAGGACGACCTCGAACTTCCTTTATTCTGTGCTGTTAAAAACATTCCCAGGAGCAGGGCATGGTGACACATGCTTTTTCATTTGCTTTTTTGTCTTTTTTGCTATTTGGGGTTTTTTGTTTTGTTTTGTTTTTTCTTTGGGACACAGTTTCTCTGTATAACAGCCCTGGCTCTCCTGGAACTTACTCTGTAGACTAGGCTGGCCTCAAACTCAAGGAGATCTGTCTGCCTCTACCTCCTGAGTGCTGGGATTCAAGGGGTGCACCACCACTGACCAGCCACTGCTCTTATTTTTGAGACAAGGGCTCCGGTAGGCCAGGCTGCCCTTGAGTTGGCGAATGTACTCAAGCATGCTCCTGAACTTGCCCTCCTGCCTCTGTCTCCTGCTGCGTGGATAACAGGTGGGGCCCACCATGCCTACTTTATGAGTGCTGGGATGCCAGGGCTTCAGACATGCTGGGTTAGCTCTCTACCCCCTGAAGGTCCCAGAAATCCTCATTTTCCTGTGTGGGTAAAAAAAAAGGACAAGTGGGAACCAGGCTTGGTAGTGTACAATCATAGTCCTAGCACTCAGAAGGTGGAGGCAGGAGGGAGGATCATGAGTTCAGGGTCTGAACTGAAAGCCATCCTGGACCACATGAGACCGTCTCAAAATCAAGCAAAATACAGGAGGCCCCCGGAGAAGTGGCACAGAAGTTAGGTCACTGGCTTCCAGTGCACCCGAAACTGGCAGATAACTGTGAGGCCCGAGAGGGAGATGTCCTATATGAGCAGAATGCACAAAGGTAAGCGGAGACGACAGCGGGTTTCTAATTCCAGCCCCATCAAGATCCGAGTGCATCTCAATACAAGAGCTGCCTCTCCCTGAGGGATTCCAACCACTCTCTGAGGGCCTGTGTACAAGACACCTTTTAATCCATTCTTTATTTCCATGGGAAAGTTACAGGGTTACTTAACAAAATAACTGTCCAGGGCATAGAGGCCTGGTGGCTTGTCCCTGGGGACCACAGCTTCAGAGAGAGCCTCCGCCCCGTTGCCTCACCTGATCCCTTCTTCCCCTTGTCCCTTGGAACTGATCACCAAGTTGCAGGGGCCTCCTGCTTTGCCTGTCCCCTCTTCAGGGGATATGGGTGCTGCTGGGGCTCCCTCCCCAGGCGGGGGTCCAGGGGCCTCTCACCTGTGTGGGGGCCCTCCCTACCCCATCCTAGGCAGGCAGTCTTGGATGCTCCAGGGACTATGACAAATGGGCACATGGAGCTCAGTTCTCATCTTCCACAATGTCATTTACAAGGCATCCCAGCCCCCTTCCTGGGGAGTGAGGTTTTGTTTGCTGCCTCTTCTGTTCCTGTATTTTCTGTTTGTGGGTTGTGTTTTTTGTTTGTTTGTCTTCTTCTTCTTTTCTTCTTCTTCTTCTTCTTCTTGTACAAAGACAGCAGTGGTCTGGATGGACTTTTTTTCTTTCTTGTTGTCAGTGCTCAGATAACCCAAGTGCTTCAGCAGGTACAGTTCTGTTGATCAATTTGCTTCCGACAGGGTTCCATAGTTACAGCAACTCCCACCCCGCTGCGGCCAGATGTCATACGGGTCACTTCGCTCCAGGTGTCAGTGTCTGGGTCATAGCATTCCACACTGTCCAAGAAAGTGTGGCCATCGTAGCCTCCTGCAGGGAAGGGGAAGAGGGCGGTCACCTCCCTCAGAAGGCCCGGTCCACCGCGGGGGAGGGGGGGGAAAGGCCGCAGGAAACAGGAGGGAGGAGCCACCTGCTTGTAGTGGATAGAATGAGGTGGAATGTGGCTCGGGGTAGCCCTCCGGCCTTAGGTGGGGGGGGGGAGGGGGGTGCAGGGTGGAAAGCGTTGTAAGGATGGGTGGGGAGTGGCTCCGTGGTAGAGCCACTGCCAGAACCTCCCAGTAAGGTGTTGGGGCATGGCACAATTACAGAAGCTTGCCAAGGGCTCAGGAGTTCCCAAGCGTCTATCCCAGCACCAACACTTGAGAAAGGCAAGATACAGAGAGACAGAGTTTTTTCCACCCTGACCCAGCCTCCGAGGGCCTCACCGAGGACGTAGATCCTGCCCTGGTGCACGGTGATCCCCAGCGCACTCCGGCGATGCTTCATGGGGGCCACGAAAGTCCAGGTCTCCGTCTCCACGTCATAGCGCTCCACGCTGTTGAGCTGGTCCTGCCCATCGTAGCCCCCCGCTGCATAGATACGGTTGTGCAGCACACAGACCCCTGAACGGAAGTGCACAGTGGGAGTCGCTGTGAGACCTGGTCTGTGGAGGAGCTCGGTAGCCACCGCCCTCCCCTCCGCCACTTGAGAAGATGAGGCAGGAGGATCAGGAGTTCAAGGCCAGCCTCAGTTACATAAGAACTTTGAGGGCAGCCTGGGTTACTTGTAGCTGTGACTCAAACAAATCAAAACCAGCGGGAAGGGAGGAGGCTTGATGCCTGGAGGACCTTCAGGGAGGAGATAAAGGGCGCTGGGCGGGGCCTTCCCACCCGCCCCACTCACCGGCCCCACTTCGAATAGTGTTCATTGGGGTAATCATCCGCCACTCATTCCTCTCCGGATAGTAGCATTCCGCCGAGCTGAGCCGGTTGGTCCCGTCGAAGCCCCCCACAGCATACAGCAGTCGGTTGAGCACCGCCACGCCCACGCCGATCCTCCGCGTCAGCATTGGCGCAACAAGGTGCCACTCATCCCGCTCGGGCTCATATCTGCAGAGGACAGAATCACATGTGGTTGTCCAGGGGCCACAGCTGGCCTTCCTTACAGCAAGGCCCTCCATCTACCAGCACTTTTTTATTCTCACTACTTTTTTGGAGATAGGTTCTTGCTGTGTAACCCAGGCTAGCCTTGAATTCTCATGGTCCTGCTTTGGCCTCCCCAGTATGGGGATGAGAGGCCTGCAGCACCGCTCTGATTTCTTTACTTCTCTCAAGAAGGGTGCAGGTCAGCAGCTCCGTTTTGTTTCCAAGGAGGAAACTGAGGCCCCCAGTCATCAGTTATGAAAACGTCAGCAAGTCCCCTAACTCTCAGCAGCTTTCCCCTTCAGGGTGGTAGCACCCGCCTGCTTCACCCCTGCTGGAGCCCACGGCTACACACCACAAGTAAGATTTGCACTGGAAATGTGGGGGAGGACATCCAGGGTCACCACGGAACATCTGGGCAGATGTTCCACTCCAGAACCCCAAGGGAGCTAACTGGTTCTCCCAGACGGTTCTCCTCCAAGCAACATGGTCAGAGATGGGCGAACTCGTACCAGGGCCCAGCAGCAGCCCGTCCTACCTGTGTTCTTGGAGTTATTAATATGCCCCTGTCCTTCTTGAGAGTGGCCGCTCAGGGTGCCCACGCAGGCCGTGCCCTGCCGGCGCCTGCATCCCACCATCCTATTCACAGACCACACACATTAGAGGCCCCTAGGGCATTTGTTTAAAATTCCATTTTCAGGTTGGGGTGGGGTTAGCTGAGGGCAGAGGGCTGGCCTGGTATGCAGAAATTTCTAGGTTCAATTCCCAGCACCACAAATGGAAAATGTTCAATATTTCTCATTTTCCTACTGCAAGTCCTAAATTTGGGGGGGGGGGGGGGGGAGGCAGTTGTGTCTTCAGACAGGGTCTCTTGTATCCCAGGCCGTAGATAGCCAGAGATGATCGTGAATTCTGATCCTTCTCCCTCCACCTCCCAAAAGCTGGGAGGACAGGCCTGTGTGCCACCACACCAGGTTTGGGAGGTGCTGGGACGCGCTTCCGGAACCCTGGGCAAGCGCTCTGCCACCTGAGCCACACCCCCAGCCCTTTCTTTCTCTCTCTCTCTTCTGGCAGTGCTGAGACAGAACCTGGAAAGGGATTCCTGCCCCCCAACTGATCTACACCGGCTTAGAGGATGCGGGCTAACGATACACTGTCAGCCCTACCCAACCCACAGGCCGGGCGCATCCCCATCGTCCCTAATGTGCGCAGACGATGGCTGTAGGTTTGGCACAGCCCCCCCAGCCCTTGACCCTCCGGATGAACCTCCCAGCGCTCGACCTCGGGTGGAGGGCGCGGGCAGGTGGCGTCCCTGGGTCTGCGGTGCTCACCTCTCCACACTGTTGTGGTGGGTGCAGCCATGGGAGCCCCCGACCGCGTAGATGTGGCCGTCGATGACCCCCACCCCGATGCGGTTGCGTGGCACGTTCATAGAGGCGCAGGGCGACCACTGGTTGGTCATGGGGTTGTAGCAGTCCAGGGCGCTGGAGTCGGTGTTGCCGTCCGGAGAGTTGTTGCGGCCACCCACGGCGTACAGCAGCCCACCCACCACGCAGCCAGCCAGTCCGCTGCGGGGCACCTGCAGGTCAGCCAGGCGCAGCCAGGAGCCGTCGCTGGGGTTGTAGGCTTCCAGGTAGCTGAGCGACTGTCGGAAGTAGCCGCCGGCCGTGTAGATGAGGCGGCCCACCTTGGGCGCCCGGCAGGGCACGGCCTGCGTGGGCTTGTGCAGCGTGAGCTCCTGGAAGATCTGCACCAGGTAGTCCTTGCAGCGTGCATCAGCCTGCAGGATCTCGCACTTCTGCAGCTGCGTCTGCAGGAAGCGCGGGGTGAGCGCGTGGCAGCGCACGGCGCGCAGCAGCGCCTGCACGTAGAAGCGCCGCTGCGGGCAGTCGTACTTGACCCAGTCGATGCATGCGTGGAACACCTCCGACTCGCAGCGCACGTTCAGGTCGTCGCGGCTGATGAGCGTGGCCAGCTGGCAGTGCGACAGGTTGAAGAACTCCTCCTGCTTGGCCACCTGCAGGGGGCGCCGGTGAGAGGCTGAGCGCGGGGGACGCCCTCCTGGCCCGCCACCCATACAGTGGGGTCTCTTCAGGCTTCTATATTGGTTTTGGTTTTAATTATATCTATAGCTAGGCGCAGTGGCACACGCCTATAATCTCCTATCCCTCGGGAGGCAGAGGCAAGAGGATGTCTGAATTCAAGGCTAGACTCTGGTCTACACAGCCAGTTCCAGACCGGCTAGGACAACGTAGTAAGATCCTGTCTCAAGGGGGCTGCAGAGATGGCTCAGTGGTTAAGAGCACTGACTGCTCTTCCAGAGGACCTGAGTTCAATTCCCAGCACCCACATGGAAGCTCACAACTGTCTGTAACTCCAAGATCTGACACCCTCACACAGAGACACATGCTGGCTAAATACCAGTGCACATAAAATAAAAATAACTAATTAAAAAAAAAAAAAAAAAAAAGATCCTGTCTCAAAAATAAAGAGGGCTGGAGAGATGGCTCAGAGGTTAGAACGGTTGCTGTTCTCCCAGAGGTCCTGAGTTTAATCCCCAGCAGCAACCCCATGGTGGCTCACAATCATCTATACTGAGGTCTGATGCCCTCTTCTGGCGTGCAGGTGTACATGCAGTCAGAGTACTCAAATACATAATATAAAAAAGAAATCTTTAAAAAAATACAATAAAAATTTTAATTAATAAAAATAAAAATATAGCTGGGCAGTGGTGGTGCATGCCTTTAGTCCCAGAACTAGGCAGAGTTCAAGGCCAGCCTGATCTATAGAACAGCCAGTGCTACACAGAAACCCTGCCATGAAAAACCAATAAATAAATAAATAAAATGAGAGATGGGCAGTGTTTGAGCTTGGCACTTTTTGCAGCTATTTTATAGAAATATTTTTGCAGATATTTGCAGAAATATTTTATAGAAATGAGATGAGGTATGAGAGAACTTCAAGTGACCACGAGGCCCACATCAAATCTTCCCACTTGCGTATCTGACACATGAGAATTTTGGCTTCCAGACAAGCCTAGGCTACGAAAACCCACCGTCTCAAAAAGCCAAGAGATAAACAAAATACACTTATGTGGGTCGATATTGACCTTACACTGCTTGAAGGATGTGTGTGTGTGTGTGTGGTGTATGTTGAAGAACTGTCCTGGAACTCCCTATGCAGGGCAGGCTGGCCTCCAGCTCAGACCTGCCTGCCCCGCACTGGGGTTAAAGGTGTGCACCACCCCTGGTTTATGTGAGGTGGGGACGGAACCCAGGCTCCATGCACGCTGGGCAAGCGCCCCCCCTACGATGTTATGCACCATGCCTAAGCCGTGACTGCCGCCCTTCCTGTGAGGTCAGGCGTGGAGCTGCCCACCTAAGGGTGACACACGGTGTTCAGAAAGCTTGAGAGCGTTTCAGACTTGGGGTTGGGGTTTGGTAATATTCAGAATGCACTGGCATGTCTGGGGCTGTCATGCTGCTGACTGGCTTTTTCCAAGGGCTCTCCTGTTACTTTCCCTTACAGACTTCCTGCCCTGAGAAATGAAAATGAAAGCAACATTATGTGAGCCCAAGAAAACCCAAGCAAGGCTGGAGCTCGCAGTTCCCAGACTGCATGCATGAGGTTGGTGGATACTGCTGACTGCATGTTCATATAGCAACGCACTCTGACCCCCTTTTGTAGGGGAGGGGAGGTCAAGTCAGAGTTTTTCTGTATAGTTCTGGCTATCCTACAGTGAGTCCACTGTATAGATCAGGCTGGCCTCGAACTCAAATCTATCTGCCTGCCCCTGCCTCCTGAGAGCTGGGATTAAAGGTGCACCCCTCTTTTGTAGACAGAGTCTCACTGTGTAGTCCAGGGTGGCTGGAACCCTCAGTGATCCACCTGCCTCTGCCTCTAGAGTCCTGGGACTAAAATCACCGGCCATCATGACTTTTGACCTCAGAGAAAGCAAGCTGCCGAAGCCCTGTGAGGCATATCTTCACCTGGTCCTAGGGCCTGTCTGCATTTGGATTTGGGGCTCAGAACTTTAGTCTGCAGCCCAGCAATGTGGCTTGTTCTGCTAAGCCGATGATCTGAGGTCAAGCCTAGAAACAGATACTAAGGTAGCAAGAGAGACGCAACTCCTGGAGGTTACCCTTTGACCCCACACAAGGTTAGCCTGTCCATGCGCACTCACAAATAAGGGAAAAATAATAATTGTTTTTTAGAGTCGGGTGTCAGCTGCCCATGATCTCAGCACTCAGGATGTGACAGCAAAGACAGGAGTTAAAACACAGCTTCAGGCTGGAGAGGTGGCTCAGAGGTTAAGGGCATGGTCTGCTCTTCCAGAGGTCCTGAGTTCAGTTCCCAGCAACCACGTGGTGACTCAGAACCATCTGCAATGAGATCTGGTGCCTTCGTCTAGTGTACAGGTGTACATGCAGGCAGAACATTGTATGCATAATAAATTAAATCTTTAAAAACAAAAACAAACAAACAAAAAAACCCCACAGCTTCAACTGCCGGGCACGGTGACGCACAGCACACCTTTAATCCCATAGGCAGGTGGATCTCTGTGAGTTCGAGGCCAGCCTGGTCTACAAAGTAAGTCCAGGACAGCCAAGGCTACACAGAGAAACCTTATCTCAAAACTGCAACCCCTCTCCCACTAAAAAAAAAAAAAAAAAAAAAAGCAGGCCACAGGGGTGCACACCTATAATCCCAGCACTCAGGGAGGCAGAGTTCTCTTGAGGACAGCCTGGTCTACAAAGTGAATCCAGAACAGCCAAGGCTATACAGAGAAACCTTGTCTCAAAAAACAAAACAAAACAAATTACATAATTAAATAAATAAAAACCTTCCGCTAAAGAAGACTGTCAAAAAAAAAAAAAAAATCAAATTCTAAGGCCGGGGTTCAGCTGGTAAAGAGCTTGGCTAGCAAGCCCAAAGCCCTGGGTTCCATCCCAGCACAACTTAAGTCAGTTGTGAGGGAGAGCGTCCTTAACGACAGTACTTAGGAGACCGAGACAGGAGAATCAGAGGTTTAAAGTCATCCTCAGGCACAGAACCAGATCAGGGCCAGCCTGGGCTACACGAGACCCTATGGCAGAAAAGGAGGAAGGAAAAACAAAATGCCAAACGGAAGGTTCCCTCCAGCCTTGAATGATTGTCCGTTCTCAAGGGCACAAGGGCCACGCTGGCCTGTCCCAAACCCCAGGCCTCACTCACCTCCCCGAAGTGCATGTAGATATACTCCCGGGCCCGCTGGTGCAGTTCAGTGCAGCCGATCTGTTCGGCGAAGTTGGCGATGCCGATGGCGTTGCTGGGGTCCAGCTGCTGCACGAGGAAGTCGCTGCAGGCTCGGACCACGCTGTCGATCTGGTACATGACCGCCCCGTTCATGACGTGCAGCACGCACTTCTCGCCCACGGAGATGGAGGCCGTGTAAGCGAACTCGATCAGCCGCTCCATGACTTTCGGGTGGATGCCCTCGATGGACACCACCTCCATGCCCTGCTCCCGGAGCCCGTTGGTGAACATGGCCTTAAAGACCGGGCTGGAGGAGGCCAGTACCACCTTGTGAGCCATGAACTGGGCGGCCGGGATGTCCTCATATTTGACCTGCAGGGTCACGTCGCAGAGCTGCTGGCTTAGCCGAAGCTCGTTCATGATCCCGAAAGCCTGCTTGGTGTGGTCCTCTAGCGTGTAGCTGAAGGTGCGGTTCCCGTCCTGCGAGGGCGTCACCTCGGCCTTGCACTCCGGGGGGGCGTACATCACGGGGCACTTTGACCACAGGGGCAGGAACTGGCTGCTGCGGGGAGGCCCGCTAGGCTTGGGTTCGGGCTGCATGGGGTTCCTGGTGACAAGGTACAGTTCCACCACTAGCAGTTAGGGTCCTGGAGGAAGGTAAGAGGACAGGGCTGGGAAAAGGCCGGGGTCCACCTGACCCTGCCGCGCGCTCTCTCTCTCTTTTTAAACAGGGTCTTAGATAACCCAGGATGGCCTCAAACTCACTCTCTAACCAGGCTGGCTCTTGAACTACTTAGATCCTCCTGTGTGCCGTGATTACGGTATGTGCCACAATTCCCGTTGCTAAGACTAAGCAAAGCTCTCCGGAGCAGTTTGCCGAGCCGAGTAAACTGGACACGACACGCCCGGCTCCATTCAAACGAACGTCTCCCTAACTCGCTAGCCCGGAGGCTCCTCTGAGAAACAGGTCACGTCATGTTCCTTTCCTGCTCAGCGTTACCCAGTACCTTTTACGGAGCCCAAGAGTAGAAACCCAGCTCCTCGACGGCCTGCAAAAACTGGGCACCGCCAGCTCCTTTCCTAGCCATCCTTCCCTTCCTCCAACACAGTCAAATTCTTTTCAACACCTCACCAAAATGTACAGAGCCTGCCAAGTGCGGACTAGGAGCTGTCTGAGCTCCGGGGACACAGCAGGAAAAGACAGAAAAGACCTGAGAATAAAGCAAAGCCTGTCCAGATAGCATTAAGCGCCAAAATCCTGGGGACACAAAGTGTGCAGCATCTGGGACACCCACGGGGAGGGATTCGGGAGACCCTGGGAGCCCCGGGACCGTGGGGACGAGTTATGTTGTGAAAAGGAAATGTGGAGAGCGAGGGGGTCGGCAGCTGCTCCCCGGGTTCTGGGGCTCGGCCTGGGGTCGCGTCCCCGCCTGTTGTGTCTCTTAAAAGCACCGTGGGCGGCTGGGGGGGAGGGGCGGTGAGGGAGCGACTGTCACGCGTGACCACGCCGCCGGGGCTCAGGCCTGGCAGGGCGCAGGGGGCTGTGCGGCGGCCGCCCGTCCCCGGCGCCGGCCAGGGCGGCCTCCCCACCGCTCGGAGGCGCAGCCCGGACGCCTGCAGGGCCCGCGGGGCCTGGTCCCGGGCCGCGGCCCCGAGCGGCGCACTCACCCCGCCATGGCCGCGTTCCGCCTCCGCCTCCGCCGCGCGGGTCACCGTGACTAAGCACAGCGCGCCACCCTGTCACAATAAGAGTCCCGGGGCGCCGGCCGCGGGCGACCCCGGCCCTCCGCCC